ATTTAAAATTAATTTACTCAGTAATTTCACTAGAAAACAGCGAAATTACTAAATGAATCATTTTATAATATCGTGAATGTCGCGACCTAACTTCCGGTAGTCTGTAGATCCAGGTAATTGGGCTTCCTGTATTATTGGGGAATGGTGAAGACTAGGAACGAGGAAGAGACGTAGTCTAAAAATAACCCGAGTGGAACGTCATTTCTCTTTTTTCTTCTTTTTTTTTTTTTCTTTTTTTCTTTCTTTTGTGGGAGAAGAAAAATTTTTCGATAAAACTGTTTGTGAGTCTAATTATTTCTAGACTTGTAGACTTTCAAGAATAATGAGAATAAAGCTTTATAAACGATTCTCAATGACGTCTCACGTTTTCTAAGAAATGAGTGCGCAATGAATTCTAGGATTGATTGAATTAGTGTGACCAATATGGCGTCATAAAAGATAAAGAAATTGTGTTTTCTACTTAGAAAAAAGATCACGATGAGCATTTCTTATAGCTTAGAAATTCACTTGCAGTGGAAGGCACTTGATTATTTTTTCATCTAATTTTGTTAGTTCTAAATCTTCATTAAATATTTCAGATAAATCATGTATATTCGTATATCGAATATAGGGCAGTACCCCCCCTCCCCCTCCCCGGGATAAAATTGACGTGTTTCAAGACTCTTCTTTTGAGTGTTGGGGGTTAGTTAATCGACCCACTAATGTAATCTAGCTTTGAACAACGATATTTAAACCACAGATTAACTAAACCGCGATTAGAAAATTTAAACCCGGTTTAGGCCTAAACCCTAGGTTAGTTTAAGAAGCAAAAAAAATACAGCCGGGTTCCCTGTGCTGATATCTGCTTGTTTGATTTGCATTTCCTGTTTGTCTGGTGAAAGTGAAGCAAGCGTCTAGTACTAGTTCTTGTTCTCCTCTTCGTATTTCAAGTAAGTTATACGTGTTAATTTGTATCAATCAGTGCATAAATACATTAGTTACGTGTGATATAGTAGATCTCTTAGTATATTCTAGATAAGATTTACTGTAAGGTTCTACAATACACAGCTTTGATCATGGAAGAGTTGAACTTGTAACTGTGATTTGAAAGCCCGTAAAAACCTCCTTTGACCAAATAACCAGATAGGATAATGCTTGTAGGATAATGAAGTAAGAATTTGGATTCCAAGCAGTTTAGCTGGGTTGATATCGTCTGTTAGTGAACAGTTTTGATCATTAATTAAAGCATGCTGTAAATATGGGTGTTGGCGCCTGTGTTGGCAAGTTTCAAAAGTTTCAGGAAGCCGTGTTCGTGTCTTGTACTCAGACAGAATCGTACGAATGGTTTATTTGAAACACCAAGCCATTTATCAAACGTCTAGGTGTATAATTTCTTAATTGATTATCGTATTTTAATCGTTTTTCTCATATATTTCTTTGATTTTCTTGACGATCCTGTATTTTGTAGTCTACAAGCAATTGTAAATCAAGCTTGGTGATTTTCTATTCTATATTGTTTTTATTGAACATTTTTCTTGAATCTGTGATATTCTTGTAGCCCGATGGCTTCACCAAACATTTGGTTTCCAGTTTGCAGTATTATTTTCAAAGAATTTAGAATCTAGAACTGTTGTAGGATAACAGCGGAGCACCATACTTAAGAAACATGGGTAAAAATGGTAAACCATCGAGTTGATTTTTCATGGCTTGGTTGACGTCACTTTCGTCCGTCAACACAACACAGGAATCCCACTTGATGTCAAAGCAAAACTACCTACTCATAAATGCGGCTCTCAAACAAAACAAAAAACGTTTTAGGACAAGTTATAGACCAACAGCAAATAAAAACAACTTCCATGTAGTCAAAGGTGGATCAAGAAATGTTCTTCAAGAATTCAGGTGGGGTTTTTTTAGCGAACAATGAGTATATTATTATTTCTTATAACAAGCATTTTTACGACGAATCGACAAATCAAAGACTTTCTCTCAAAACATTTAATATTTCTATAGATAAGCTTAATTTATTTTAATGCTGGATGAAATATAACACGGAGAGCATATTACAACAATATTCGTCCTTTATTTAACTTTGTAAATCTTTAACAACTCGGTTGTTTATAACCAACTATCGTATGTTTTTCGTTCAAGAAAATTGCAGCTTTGTTCGCCTCCTATCGCGGGGTCCCATCG